GTCTCTCCTCCTCCCCCATCATCTGTTCCTGTGTGCTCTGGTCAGATATATCCTTCTCCCGAAGCTGCAGATTCAGTGCCATCCTTTGAGATACATTCTTCTCAGGGGAGGGGCAGGCATCCACTTAGTATTTGGAGCTGGGACCAGTCCCCTAGACCTCTCCACTGATTCCCTACTCTGCGAGGGCATGTTGTCTTCACACCTTGGAGCACTGGGTTGAAGTTTGGTCCCCAGAGACTCACTATTACAGGAGTAGAAAGTCTCCTATTTCTTCCTTGGAGTGTCTGGGGGTTTAGAACTAATGACCTTGTGGTTAACAGGCCAACACATCAGAGGGCTCATTCTGTTGACCTGAAGGGATGTGCTTTTAAAGTTAGAAATGCACCTTGCTGGGTAATGTTGGGCATATGAGCTCATTGTAAAGAAGGTAATAGGTAGGTAGGTAGTCAGTTGGGCAGGCAAATTGGTAGATAGATGGATGGATGGTTATCAGATATGAATATGCCTACAACTCAGTGCTGCCAACTGAGTTCTGACTCACAACAGCTCAACACAGGATTTCAGAGACACCTGAAGGTTTTTCAGAAGCAAGTAACCTGATCTTTTCTCCTCAGAGCAGCTGGTGGATTTGAGCTTTAGGCCTCAAAGTGAGCAGCCTAACATCTAGCCCACAGTGGTCCCGGGGCCCTTCTACACATGTCTGCAGACATGGGATAGCGCACATCACACTGGTACTTCAGGTTCCATGGAGGCCAGGGTAGATTGCGTTCCTCATAATACCTTGAGTTTTTCACTTCTTGTATTGTTTTATTTAAATTAAAAGTGATTAAATGGGTATGTAAAATAGAACTTTTAAGGGGATATTTCTAGACACAGCACCTCGTGAGCTAATTTAAGGAGTTACATAGGAGGAAGGAAGTAGGCCCATTAAGAGGGTGAGGTCACAAGACAGCGTGTCAACTTCTTTGCAGATTTTACTTCAAGGAATTTTAGAGCTGGATTAAATCGTAAAGATAGCTCAGTCAGAAGTGTCATCCCAACAAAGGCCTTCCCACATTTACTACCCTACCCTTCTTCTGCTTAAGCAACCCTGTCAAGAAAAATCTCACTTCTCCTTCCATTCTGGAGAAGCCATTTTTCTGCGGCGATGCTCAGAAAATACCTGGCACTTCAATGATTCAGTCTATTTCAGGGTAAAATTCAGAGCTAGCGTGACTGGACACTCATCTTGAATTTCTAAAAAAGACTCTGCTACTTCATGTTTTGGTCATATGTATGAGAACTCCAAAACATCCGACCACGAGTTTTAATATTTCTAAGGAAAGTAAACACATCGGTTATCAGAAGTGAAAATCAACTCAATGGCAACTACCAACCACACATTTTTCTGGCCTTGACAGGAGTTGCCACTGACTGACTGGACAGACTTCTTCAGGGTTCTCCTTCAGGCAACAGCCATCCTTCCAGAGGGAGCACCCGACATGGAGTCCGATAGTCTGCATTTGAACACAGTCACACCACCAATGTAATTGTGTGACTCTGACACGTTCACGGAAGTCCGTTGAGCCTCAGTTTCCTCATCGTAAGATAGTAAAAGTACTACCTTAGCTTCAGGGGTTTTCTGGACAAAGTAAAGTGTTCAAATGCCATGTGCAATGCCTTGGCACAATGTAAGGTCCCAGAACCTATTAGACGGCTTCCAACGCGGACTATCGTACTAAACAGAACAGCATTTCATGTGAATAGAAACTTGTGATAATTGTTAAAATCCACTGGTCAGAGTTAGAAGGTAAAACATAGTTTGGGAATAGCCTTACCTGTGTCTTTTTCTAATTTCATGGGTTGGCTATCTATGTATACGTTTCCCAACCTGCAGGATGGGAGTAGAAAGTCTTTTTACCTCAGCAGGAGAGAGCCCAAACCCAGGTGATCTATATTACAGAAAGGAGCTGATTATGCAAACAGAATTGCTCTTTGGGGTTACTGTTGCTTATGGGAATTTATTGATAGATAGTCAAGTTTGTCAACATCGATGGAAAAGTAAAGTGCTAAATGGTTGCACCATATGTAGAAACATTTCTCAACCACTCTGAGGCCCTTTGAGACAATCTCATAGTGGTTGATGGATCAATTTTTAAATTATTAATAAAATTACACAGCAACCCCCAAATCAACCATAGATGGTTATTTCTGGGTTATTGGATATCAGTATATGTTTACTTTGTCCTCATGCATTTTTTTAGGTATTTGTACTATTGACATTTTCTTTCATTTGCCTTTTTTTAAGGGATATACATTTAAAAAGAAAAAAAAACAAAGCTTGACTTCAGATGTTTTTATTGCAATTCTGCACGAACCTAGGTTGATGACAGGATATGGATTCTGGCTGGATGAGAGAGAGAAATTACACTGTGGTCTTAAAGAAGCATCGGCTGCTCAAAAGCCATCACCTTCATGAGACTGTGGCAGCGCTGGGTCAGGCAGTGACGCACTGCCGTGAAACCAGCGTAAAGCCCTGCCACCCAGCGTGTGTTCGTTCTTGGAGGAACAAATAGTGCTCAGCTCGGCCTTGCTACAGCCAATGTTACAGCAGGTCTCCAGTAAGAGCTCTCGTTTGGACTTAACTGGATGCTGCCTGGATTCCCACCTCCTTCCCACAGGAAGCTGTCCACCCTGAGGCCCATCCCCTGCTGCACTCTCCAACTGCTGAAGGCTTTGCCCTCTGGTTTCCGCCGAAATCTCTTGTTCATTTGGGTCGTGGAAGTGGTTTCCTCTCTCAGCTGCATGGAAGAGAAAAAGAAAAAAAAAAAAATCATTTACTTAGAGGGTCCTGCTATAAAGGCAGCCACCAAGTTCTACGCCTGTGGAAATGATTGGATTCTGAAAGGATATTGAATTCTGGACCCATTTTTCTCAAGTATTCATTTGATTTCACAGAAACCCGACTGGTTTTTTGTTTTGTTTTGATTTTCAATTAAATAGAACTTTAATTTGAAAAATTTCATCCCAGAATTTACTTGAATTTGAAAATTACTTAATATTTCTATCATATAATAAGCAATAAACATACAAATGTTTGGTAAACATATACACAATAAAATGTTTAAGTAGTATAATATTTTGTAGCGGATTTTAGCAATAGCTTTCACTAACCAAAGTTATGTTAGCCATGATTTGTAGCACAGAAACCGGATTGTTGTTGGCAGAATGCTCCCTGAGCTCCACTCTCCTCATTTCCCAGATAGGGACGCTGACTGCAAAGAGACTGGCCCGCAGCTAGTCAACCAAACCAGGGCTGGACTTCTTTCTGACTGGCTCCCTCCACTTAAAAACCAACAGCCCCCAAGGTAAGCGGTTGTGTTAGAGACAAAACAGACATACACACAACAAAGAAAAGATGCCCCAACCTCGTATATTCCCTGAAAGGCTGATTAGTGAGGGAAAACGCGATCCTGAGTGTCACACATCCAGCCGTGCTCGACTTACTTAACTAAAGAGTTAGTGGTATCAACGTGCCACCTCAGAGGCCCCCGGGGGAAGGGCCTGGCGTCTCCTTGTCAAAGGTCCCCGCAAATCCTGTGGAGTAATTCTGCTTGGCACACTGAGCTGGGGGAGGTGCGGGTCACCACGAATTGGAATCCACTTGATTGCAACTAACAAGGTCACAAGGAAGGAAACAGAGGTGGACGCCCCTGAGCCCGGGAGGTTCGAACCCACCAACCGTGCGTTCTGCAGGAGAAAGATGAAGCAGTCTGCTTTCAGAGAGATACAGCCTCGGAAACCCTGGTGTTGCAGGCCAAAGATTCAAGGCCGGGCCACGTCGTAGTGTTGTTCAATTGGGTTTCTCATCCACAGATGGATGGAAATCCAGAAGAGTTCCTAGCCACATTCAGGTTTGGTGGGTTGGATGGGTTGTTTTGTTTTGTTTTCATAACTACCTCCTTGAGTAGATTTCGATATGGATAAATGAGACTTAAGGAAGAAGTTTTTTCACACCTGAGAAAATGCACAAAAATAAGGAGCGCTCTGTTAAGAAGGCATCTACGTACCACTAACGGTCAACCTTTACTTCAAAGCGAAGAGGCGCAGATGAGGACGAGAGTGGCCAGATCACGAGGAGAGAGCATTTTGGGAGGAATAATTGGGCAGTAATGGTCAGGTGGGAACCACATGTGCCGAGGGAATTTTCACGGTAAATAGCATGAAAGATGTGCCCAAGAGGGCACGGGTAGCGTGATGTTACCTTGCTGAAGCTGCAGACTCCCCTCCGGATGCCGTCGCCACCTGGAGGCTCCGCAGAGGAAGATGACGGCTCGGATGAAGTTTCTACCGCACAGCTTCACCATGCCCTCGCTCTGCACCTCCGGGCTGGCAAGTAAGACAAAGAAGAAAAATAAGGTGACGATCGAGCCCTTCATTTTGCTGAAGATCAAGAGGTGCTGATAGGATGCGTGTTGTCACATCAAGTTATAAGCTATGCTCCTGCTCTTGTCCAATTTATACTAATTTTGCTGGCATTTTATTGGCCAACCCCTTTTAACGATATTTGCTAAGCACATATGTTAGTCACGAAGTTTGGATAATGCGCTTTTACGATCATGGCTAGTTATCCAGTCACTTCGGGACACCGTCAATTTCCTTTCCTTGAAACAATAAATAGAAAGCAGTCTTGAGGGGCAGAAATGCTTCACGGAGAACGCATGCATGTTAGAGGTAGCCAAGTAGGCGCTTCAGTCTCGCCACGTGTTGACTGAAAAACAAAGCGCAAATTTTAGATGCCTTGATGTTCAAAAGGCTTCTTGGTAGAACTGGGAACTTTTCATAAAGAACAAAAGCCACATCTTATGCCCCAGTCACTGGAAGTCATCCTTAAGAATTCAAATTCTCATGTCCGGGATTTGAATTCTGACTTCCCGTGACATAGACTCTTGTAAGCAGTAATGGATAACTTGAGAAAGGCGGGAATTCCAGAATATTCATTGTGCTCATGCAGAGCTTGTAAATGGACGAGGGAATCCTGCATGGTTTAAAATCAGGAAAGGTGTGTGCCAGGGTTGTATCCTCTCACCAGACTTGTTCAATCCGCATGCTGAATAAATCATCAGAGAAGATGGATTACATGTAGAAAAAGGTGGCATCGGGATTGTAGGCAGGCTTATCAACAACTTGCAATACGCAGATGACACAATCTTGCTTGCTGAAAGTGAGGAGGACTTGAAGCACTTGCTGATGGAGATCAAGGATTGCAGCCATCCGCATGGATTACAGTTCAAGTTAAAGAAGACCAAAATCCTCACAACTGGACCAATAGATAATATCATGACAAATGAAGAAAAGTTTGAAGTAGTCAAGGTTTCTGTCTAGCTTGGATCCACAATGTTCATGGAAGGAGCAGTTAAGGGACCAAGATGCTTTGCATTAGGTAAACCTGCCGCACGAGTTCTCTTTGAAGCGTCTATAAGCAAGAATGTTACTTTGAGGACTAAGATGTGCCTGACCCAAGCCATGGGATTTTCAATTACCTCACATGCATGTGAAAGTTGGACATCAAATGAGAAAGACCATAGAAGACTCGATGCATTTGAATTGTGGTGCTGGCAAGGAATATTGAAAGGACTGTGAACTGCTAAAGAGACACACCGGCTGTATTGGAAGAAGTGCAGTCAGAGTGCTCCTTCGAGGCAAGGATGGCAAAATTTCATAGTACATCCTTTGGACATGTCAGGAGAGAGCAGTCCCTGGAGAAGGTCATCATGTTGGGTCAAGTGGAGGGTGACGAGATGGGCTGACACAGAGGTGCACAGGGACAATGATGAGGACGGCGCGCACTGTGCCGCATTCTGTTCTGCGTCAGCTCGTGATGGCTCATAACCGACTAGATGGCGCCTAACAACACGTTTTCTTCTGCTGCTTCTTTAATAAGTCGTTTTATCGGGGCTCTGACAGCTCTTGTAACAATCCAGACATCGATTGGATCAAGCACATTTGTACATAGGCTGCCATCATCATTTCCAAACCATTTTCTTTCTACTTGAGCCTTTGGTATCACCTCCTCTTTTTTCCCCTCCCACCCCCACTCCTCTCCCACCCTCGTGAACCCTTGATAATTTATGAATTGTTTTTATTTTCATATTTTACACTGTCCATTGTTTCCCTTCACCCGTGTTCCTGTTGTTTGGCCCCTGGGGGAGGGGGAAGAAGGGGTGGTTGTACGTCAGTCATTGCAATCAGTTCCGCTTCTCTCCCCCTCTCCCCTGACCTTCGCCCTACCCTCACAGTATCACTATCTCATGCTTGGTCCTGAGGGGTTTATCGTCCTGGACTCTGTGTGTTGAGAGCTCTTATCTGTACCAGTGTACGTCCTCCCGTCTAGCCAGATTTGTAAGATAGAACTGGGGTCATGGAGGGGGGAAGCATTAAAGAACTAGAGGAATAACAAGTTTTCTTCTGTACACAAAATTGTGCTACAAATAATACCACCTCTATAAAAATGAGACTTATTTTACTTGTTTCTTTTATTATTCACTAAAATGAATTTTAAAATTCATATTAAAATGTATTATAAGGGTCAAAATTTATATGAGAAAATATGTAATTATAAAAAAACAAAAAAATAACAACCCCTCCTGGAATTAGTGAGTTAGTCCTAATGAGACAATCAACAATTATGGCTGGCTGGAAAAGGTATATCTCCTTCAGAAGTCACAACTACTCTCTCTGAGTAGAATCTTCCTTGTCGTTTTGGATCACCCAATAAGCAAGGTAAGCAAGGACCTCCTCATGTTTATTTACTAATCTGTGATCAACAATTTTGCATTTTTCAACAGTTTTATTGGCATATAATTCACATATCATGCAGTTCAACAAGTTCAATCACCTCAAGAAATCACATCAATCATCAGCACCATCAGTTTTAGAACATTTTCTTCATTCTTGTCCTCATCGATAGTAGCTCCCTACTTTCTCCCACCCTCCCCAGTGTTGCCTGGTTTTCCTTCTGCTTTGAGGCTCTGTCTGTCTCCCGACACCACAACAACTTCCTACAGATGCAGAGCCTCGTTTCAAAGTTACAACCCGAGTAAGGACACAGTACCCAGTAAGCAAGAATCACGAGTTTACTTGTGTTTATCTACAAACAGGTAGTGAACGATTACGTGAACCATTTTCCACTATAGCAAAGAAGCACAAGTAAGCCCGTGCTTACCTTGCTTATTGGGCCATCTGCCCCTGTTGCTTGTCATCCTTCATCCTATGTCTCCTGTCTTCCACAGCACACATTTTTATAACAGAAATATTTAAAAAATCATTTTATTGGGGGTTCATACAACTCTTATCACAATCCATACATACATCCATTATTCAAGCACATGTGTACATTTGTTGCCATCATCATTCTCAAAACATATGCTTTCTACTGGAGCCCTGGGTATCAATCAGCTCCTGTTTTTTCCCCTCCCTCCGTGTCCTCCCTCCCTCAACAGAAATATTTTATAGCAGAAACTTTCATCTGTAATCCCAGCTCACAACTCCTCACATGAAACTACTTCTCACATCTCACAACTCTGTTTTACAACATTTCACATTTACAAAAATAGTTTAATTAATTAATTAATTTAAAAGACAACTCTCTGACTATATTGCTCGTTAAAGACGCAAGTCTGGTAATGACAAACGCTGAGGTCTTTGACAGGGTCCCTGGCTGGCAGATGTATGTGCAAATAAAAAGAAATCTCATATAGTGTAGAGTTGTTTTTTAACTTTTTATTGTGAATTTGGTGACAGTTCACACAGCAAATCATTTTTCCATGCAACACTTCATACACATTTTGTTTCAGGTTATTGAAATGCAATCTCCCACATCAAATGCAATCCTTACATTGCATTTCAGGTAATCAGACTGAAATCCCCACATCCCTCACGGCCGACTTCGATTCCCCCTTCTTTCCTAACCCTTCTTGCCTTTTGAACTTTGTCCTTGGGCAATGGCTGCCCCTTTTCATTTCAAATGGTTGAGTATTCTAAGGAGTATGTAGTAATATTATAATATTGTTCACCCTGTAAACTTGTCTATTTTTTGCCTGAAAATTGAGTCACAGGATGAGTTTATTTCCAGATGGGAAGGATGACTTAAGTTCAGAGCATTGAGGGTTCCACCGGTCTCTATTGGACCAATAAGCATAGGCTTCTGTTGTGGCTGCTATGATCTTGAATTTTGTTGTACCTTTTCCTTCCATCTCCCAGTACCTTCTAATGTGGCCCCTTTCAGAGCCGTCAATGTGGCAGCTGGGCATTATCTAATTCTTCCCGTCTCAGGATTGTGGAAGCTGACGTTCACTTGATCCAATCAGTCCATTGAACTGAATGTTCCCATCTATCTTTAGTTTTCTCTATTCTTCTTTGATTCCTATGAGGAGAGACCAATAGTTGTAGCCACAAGCTTTGAAGACCCCATTTGCTACTCACCAAAGTAGCGTGTAGAACATTGCTGCAGTGTTTCACCACCCCACCTCCCACGCACCCCTCTGAGGGGAGAGGGGGCACAGTCTTCCTGAACCACCAGGGTTCCAGGGGATATAAAGGAGGGACTGGGTTTGGAGTAGGCAGAAATGTGTCATTGCTCAATTTTAACTGGGTGCCCACAGGTGTTGAGGTAATTTAATAGCACCTGATGCCCTGAATGTGGGCTGCCTTCAGAACTTGGAAGACACTAGGATCCAACCCTAGCTGCTAGATCTGAGGGGCATCAGGGATGACCAGGTTGTGGTCAGAAGGGGCTCTGAGACAGGGGAACTTGGGTGCCCTGGGCCTGCAGGGTCACATGTGAGTTTGCAGTCCCTTATACTTCCTCCTGAGTGAGTACAGGTGAGGATGGAACAGGCCACCTGTGTGGGCTGGCCTCAATGAGTGAGTGGCCAACAGCAGCTATGCTATAATTTAAGGTCAAGGACAAAGGCTGAACCTAACACTCACAACCTCAAAGGAAATTCTGGATTATTGATTCTTTCGGGGGAGGGAAGGGGCAAAGAGACACAGGGGAACAGGGTCACTCACCAAGAGCTGGAGGATGCTTGCAAAATGGACCAATAAGGGGACCCAGCCAGCAGTGCCTACCTCTGATCCCCTGTAGTGCTCAGGTACCCTACCCATGGACAGAGAGCCCCTGGCCCAACAAAGCTACCAAGGGCCCTTTGGGGTCATTGGAAGGATGAGCCAGGGCTCACCCACCTTTCAGAGAGAGTGAGATGGAGGACACTCAGGATGGGGAGCAGTGCTTGGGCCACCCTTGATCTGGCAGACTGGAAAGCCCTCCTCTGAAACATGTGGTGGGAACCAAGCTCTCCTGAGACCATGTGTGTGTGTGTTGGGGGAGGACAGTGACAGATGACTTCTCCAAGACCCAGTGGGAGCGGCCACCTTC